AAATATATGGAATTGTGGAGCAAAAAGAGTTTTTCCCAAAGAACTATTGATTTGGTTTGTAATGATTAAGAAAACAAGCTGAAAGAGAGTAAGAGGAGATCAGATTTTAGAAGCATAAAAGAAATACCATCAGAAACTCATTCAAGAATATTCATTCAAGCCAGGTGTCGTGGCCTGTGCCTGTAGTGCCAGCTACTTATGAGACTGAGGTGGGTGAATTGCTTGAGCCCAGGATTTCTAGTTAAGCCTGGTAATACAGTGAGAAGCTATGTCAAAAAATGAAAGTTCATTCATTCATTTCTTTCCCTTCTGATATTTATAGAGGGCTTACTATTGCCCAGTTGCCATCCCTGTCCTGGAACTTAGTAGTGGGGAGAAAGAGAATAGCTACTAAATATTTAATACCGCAGTCACTGAACAGATTGGATATAGGTGCTCTAAAGGAGAACTGTGGAAAACATCAATTAAGTGGGAAAGAAGTGTTTTCTAGGAAAATTGTGTTTGATGTCAGTTTGGCCCAGTAAGTAAAAAATCCATAAGAGAGATGGAAAACAAAGACTTCCTGGGACCTAAATAGGGTGAAATGGAATGTGTACAGTGATATGCTACCTACGCCACAGTGAGTGAAATATCAAACAAGTCAGGAAAAGAGATTGGAAGGGTGATTATAGATTTGCTTCCATCTCTTACTCTAAGAGAGATATTAATTACTGAAGAAGCCCAAAGTTCACTAAAAAGAAAGTGATTCCAGTGGTAACTCCAAGAAAAATGAAAAAAAAAAAAAAAAAAGAAAAAGAAAAAAAATTCAGGCTTCCAAGTGGTGACAGTAACAGGGCTAACATGAGCAAGAATGGAACAATTAGCAGCAGTCTGTGAAAGGACAGACCTTCCTCTTTTTTTTTTTTTTTTTTTTTTTTGTTGGAGGGGTTTTACCTCTGTTGCCCAGTCTGGAGTGCAGTGGCACGACCTCTGCTCACTGTAACCTCTGCCTCCTAGGTTCAAACAATTCTCCTGCTTCAGCCTCCTCAGTAGCTGGGATTACAGGTGCCCATCACCACGCCCAGCTCATTTCTGTATTTTTAGCAGAGACATGGTTTCGCCATGTTGGCCAGGCTGGTCTCGAACTCTTGACATCAGGTGATCTGCCCCGCTCAGCCTCCCAAAGTGCTGAGATTACAGGTGTGAGCTACTGTGCCCGGTCCTATAGACCTTTCTTGAGAGGGCTTGGAGAAGCAGGGAGTGGCTTCAGGCAGTTGATCTTCCGTGTCAGTATTAAAGGTGAAGGCCATTCTCTGTCTTAGAAAAGGGGATGAGCCTTAGTGTAAATAGGGGCCCACCGTGAGGTGAGAAAGAGGAGTGCAAACTCATCCATGTATTTAATGAGAGGAATCAAAAATGCTTCCTACAAGAGGAGAAACTAAGAGGCGCTGGGACAATGAAGTGTCCGTTTGACTTGAGCTAGAATAAACTCGCAAAGTTTCTTGATTCACAGGGGGCACAGCTTTTTCATTTTCATGCCAAAAGACCATCTCCTAGGATATGGAGACCATCTGTGTCAAGGAGCAAAGCCCTTAAAAATGATTTCAATGTAAAATGTGGCGTGACGGGGGCCATATTGTCTGACACTGTCCAACCCCTTTAGTATTTCAACAAGCTAAGCACAAAGGAGGCAAAAAATGGCCAGCAACAATGAACTAGAATTCCCAGACAGCTCCAGGGGAGAAAGAGAAGGCTTTGACAAAATTAAGACAAGTCAGTATGGATGTGCACAAAGGTGTCTAAAATCACTAAGTACAGAGTTTGAAATGAGCAAAGAAAGATGGCTAGCTCAGTGAAAAGCCATGACCATGGGCCCCATGCTTTCCCAGCTCCTTGCCCCTGAGGATCACGGTGGGAAGGAGAAAGCCTGCCTTCCCTGATCACACACAGGCTACCAGTCTGCATGTGCCCCTGTCCTGCAAGCCTCTGCAGCTGCCAGAAGTGATTCTGCTTCGATCGTGTCAGTTTCCAGTTGTTGCTCAGCTGGGCTTGGTGATATCAAATTCTTGATAAACAAGCTCTTTCTTTTTAAAAAAATTATTATTATTATTATTATTATTACTATTATTTGAGATGGAGTCTCGCTCTGTTGCCCAGGCTATAATGCAGGATCTCGGCTCACTGCAACCTCCGCCTCCTGGGATCATATGATTCTCCTGCCTCAGCCTTCTGAGTAGCTGGGATTACAGGTGCCCGCCACCATGCCTAGCTAATTTTTGTATTTTTAGTAGAGATGGGGTTTCACCAAGTTGGCCAGGCTGATCTCAAACTCCTGACCTCAGGTGATCTGCCCACCTCGGCCTCCCAAACTGCTGGGATTAGAGGCGTGAGCCACCGTGCCTGGCCAAGCTCTTTTCATACTGGAATACTTGTGGTTGAAATAAAATGATTTTTTAGGCTTGCTTTGAAATAATCCAAGACTGAGATAGGGAAAGTGAGTACAAGTAGAGTTGAAACAAGATGGGCTATGAATTCATTTATCATTGCTGCAGCTGGAGAAAGACCCAGAGATGTTCATTGCACTATTTTCTACCTTTCTATACGTTGGAAATTTTCTATGAAACAAAGAAAAAAAAAAAAAACCCCTTATCAGCTTACCTGACCTTATGTCAAGGATTTTTCTGATTGCTTCACTTTCTTTCCCTTCTCCCCAAGATGTGCTGCCTCTCTTTTCTCCCTTCTCATATTTTCAATTAACAAACATCTTCAGACATGCATTTTGGGCAAGGCAGTCTACTGGGCACTGAGGGTCAAGCAGATGGATAGGTCTCAGATCTTAGGTCACAGTCTCGCAGGGAAGACAGATAGAAGCTGAGACAAGTGTGGTCAGGCAGGCCAGGAGAAAGGCTGCCACAAGAGAAGTAGAGGGGGAAAACAATTTCTGGAAGAAATTTCTGGAGGAAGTGGGATTTGAGCTGATCCCTTAAAGAAGCATACAATTGTGTCTGGTGGACATGGGGGTGCAAGCCTGACCCTGACATCTATCTGTCAAGCTAGGATAAGAGTTTGCTCAAACTGGCAAACTGACATAAAATGTTCTTTTTACCTTGAAAATGCATGTTCACAACAATTTGAAAAGCCAAGCTAAAATTTAAAGTTCTTGTACCTTTTGGATTTCTGAAACATGGCCACATGAGGAGAGGTGGTCCCTTACCCCAGTCCCCTGGCCTGTAGCTTCTCTCTCTTCCCTTCCTACCCTGGGTTTTATTCCTCACCATAGGAGGCTTCATGCACATGCCAGCTTCAGCTCTCACATCCAAAAATCATCAAAAGCCCCACAAACAGCCATCTCTTGACCACCCTTCAGACCAAGGGATGCTCACACTAGCAGTATCACTGTTTGCCCTTGAGAGGATGGTTACTAGGAAGAGTTCCACTCAGGCCCTGGAAGTGGGTTTGGAGTCATTTGGGCAGGAAAATGTGGGATCCCAGGTATTTATCCTCTAAAAGCAGGATAGAAGGAGCCTGGTCTCTGGGTGTACACTTTTCCTTGGCCCTGCAGATTTCTTGCCCTACGGGGGGGTCACAGCTAGAGCGCAGCCAGAGCAAAGCCCTCTAAAGCACAAAACCAAGGTCAAAGGCCCCTCTTGCTACTCTCTGTGTGGTTTCTGGTAAGTCACAACTTTTCAGTTTTTTTTGTTCGAAATGCAGATGATAATAGGGCCTAAAATATTGGAGTGAATTGGGAATTAAAAGAGATGATGCACATCAAGCTTTCAGAATAACACCTGGCATATTGTAATTGCTTATTGAATGAAAATAAAGCCAACTTGATTAACTGAGGAGACTGGTTGCTTTTGGGGGAAAGTGCATGAGAAACAGCTTCAAAGAATCTTGTCAGTACTTTAATGAGCAAGTCTTAATTAAGTGTGTAGATAAGAGTCATCTGTCATAGAAGCGTTGCTTTTGTGTGTGCTGAGCTAGAGTCTACCATTGACGGAAAGGAAGATTGGATAAGCCCAAACATAGTGAATCTGGATAGAAGAAGAAACATTTCCCTTCTCATCAATGGAAACAAATACATTTCTTGTCACTTTCTGCTTCTAGTGGCAGCAGTTTGCCTGCAAGGATTTCACATGAATAATGTGCTAATTTTAATTAATTAGTACCCATTTGTTAACAGGAGAAGATAGTATAAGTGACTGGAAGGCTTATAACCCTAAGTTTGAGGTAATAAAGCTGCATTTCCATTTACAACATCAACAATTAGTTATGTAAAGGCAGTGTAGCAATGGGGTTAAGTATGCAGGTCCTTGAGCCAGATGACCTGCAATCATGCCCCAACTTTTCCACTTAACTGTGTGACTGTCAATAAGTTTCTTAACTTCTTCATCTCTGTAACATGGTGACAATAGTAACAGTAATAATGATGCCTACTTCATAGGGTTGTTGTGGAAATTAAGGTATGTAACGTACTTATAATGGGCACATGGTAAGCCCTATATACATCTGATTTTAATATCCTCGTAATGAATTATGGTAGAAATCGCTCTACCTCCCAAACATTACTCACTGACACCTTAATCAGAATTAATGGGGCTTCATTGTACTTAAAAAACTTCATATTATTAATAGTAGTGATAATAGTTAATATTTGTTAATGTATTATTATATGTGACATACTGTTCTAAATTTTTTTACAAGTATCATCTCATTTATTACTTACCTCCATCCTTTGAGGAAGGTACCATTAATCATCCACATGTATAAAGAAAATGTACATATACACCACAGAATACTACACAGGCATAAAAAAGAATGAGATCATGCCCTTTGTATCAATATGGGTGGAGCTGGAGGCCATTATCCTAAGCAAACTATTAATAACACAGGAACAGAAAACCAAATACCACGTGTTCTCACTTATAAGTGGGAGCAAAACTTTGAGTACATACGGACACAAAGAAGGGAACAGACACCAGGGCCTACTTGAGGGTGGAGGTTGGGAGGAGGAAGAAGATCAAAAAACTGCCTATCAAGTACTATGCTTATTACCTTGGTGACAAAATCATCTACATGCAAAACCCCCATGACATGTAGTTTACCTTTATAACAAACCTGCACATGTACCCCTGAGCCTAAGATAAAAGTTAAAAAAAAAAAAAGTTTTGGCTGGACGCGATGTCTCATGCCTGTAATACTAGCATTTTGGGAGGCCAAAGTGGGTAGATCACTTGAGGTCAGGAGTTTGAGACCAGCCTGGCCAACATGGTGAAACCCCGTCTCTACTAAAAATACAAAAATTAGGCAGGGTGTGGTGGCTCATGCTTGTAATCCCAGCACTTTCGGAGGCTGCAGTGGGTGGATCACAAGGTCAGGAGATTGAGACCATTCTGGCTAACACAGTGAAATCCTGTCTCTACTAAAATACAAAAAATTAGCTGGATGTGCGTGCCACTGTCCCAGCTACTAGACAGGCTGAGACAGGAGAATCACTTGAACCTGGGAGGTGGAGGTTTCAGTGGTGAGCCAAGATCATGTCAGTGCACTCCAGCCTGGGTGACAAGAGTGAGACTCCATCTCAAAAAAAAAAAAAGTTTTATTTGTCAATCATACTTCAATAAAATTGGTTTAAACTTTTAAATTAAAAGATTATCCACATTTGACAGGTGAAGAAACTGAAGGTCAGAGAAGAAAAGTAACTTGATCAGGGTCACACAGCTAGTTACTGATGAAACTAGATTTCAAACCCATGTCTATTTAGTGCAGAGCCATGCCTGCTACACTGCTTGAACAGAAAGTTTACTATTTCTCTGGTGCCAACAATAGGAATAGATTTAAGTTGCTGAGAACAAAGCTACTACTTCAGCCAGACTCACTCCATGCTTTCAGGCATGGAGCTCAGAGAGTGGACTCCCTATACCTGTGTAGAGAAAGAAGATGCAAATATGAGGAGGCAGCTTCACCCACTGAACAATGACAAACAACTGCCTGCAGATCAATAGCACAGGCTCCAGGAGATAATGGTGGCCACAGATCATGGAATGTAGCAAGGTCCCTTGCTTCTGTAGTATGTGGTTGGGACAACCCAGTGATAAGTGCAGCAATAGGTACAGGCTGTGACCAGTGGTCCCACCTCTTTTCAATCACTTGGATATTTGGGGGCAAGTGGCGTGGCTTATCCAGTAGAATGGATTGTGAACGTGGCTCTTCTTTTGTAGACAGATATCTAGTAAGGAATGCATCCTGCTGTGGAAATATATTTAGTGGGTCTTTGGCAAGGGACAGGTGCAAAACTAGCTATGTTCCTCAATCCTAGCAAGATTACTACAAATGGGTCCTGAATAAAGATTGGGACCAAGTTTTAGTGGGCAAAGGATGTGAACAGTCACTTTTCAAAAGAAGATATTTATGTAGCCAACAAAGATATGAAAAAAAGCTCATCATCACTGGTCATTAGAGAAATGCAAATCAAAACCACATTGAGATACTAACTCACGCCAGTTAGAATGGCGATCATTAAAAAATCAGGAGACAACAGATGCTGGAGAGGATGTGGAGAAATAGGAACATTTTTACACTGTTGGTGGGAGTGTAAATTAGTTCAACCATTGTGGAAGACAGTGTGGTGATTCCTCCAGGATCTAGAACCAGAAATACCATTTGACCCAGCAATTCCATTACTGAGTATATACCAAAAGGATTATAAATCACTGTATTATAAAGACACATGCACATGTGTGTTTATTGTGCAATGTTCACAATAGCAAATACTTGGAACCAACCCAAATGCCCATCAATGGTAGACTGGATAAAGAAAATGTGGCACATATGCACCATGGAACACTATGCAGCCATAAAAAAGGATGACTTCATGTCCTTTGCAGGGACACGGATGAAGCTGGAAACCATCATTCTCAGCAAACTGACACAAGAACAGAAAACCAAACACCGCATGTTCTCACTCATAAGTGGGAGTTGAACAATGAGAACCCATGGACACAGGAAGGAGAGCCTGGGGGTGTGGGGGGCTAGGGGAGGTATAGCAGGGGTTGGGGAGATGGGGAGAGATAACATTAGGAGAAATACCTATTGTAGATGATGGGGAGATGGATGCAGCAAACCACCACCATGGCATGTGTATACCTGTGTAACAAACCTGCACGTTCTGCACATGTACCCCAGAACTTAAAGTATAACAAATAAATTTTAATAAAAGATTGGGACCAAATGCCACGTTCTTAAGTGGGCTAGCTGTCTGCAACTCTGTCCGGTGGAAACTGGTGTCCTGCTTACAATCTAAAACAACCATAGATGGTTTGGGCAGGAGGAAAACTTAAAGATCATTGGAATGAAACTCCATTTACACACTGAAAACCTGAGAAATGGGGACCGCAAGAAGAGGAGTGACTTTTCTAAGGTCATACAGCATGCCTCCCTTTTCTTCAGTTTGCCATGGTGAATTTCTTCCTATTTTCATCTACTGCAGGATGCCCTAGGATCAACTCCTTCTGGCATATTTAACAGCTGTGTGAAGTCTACACAATGAGATGTTTTATTTCATTTAAAACTAATGTTACCTCAACAGTTGAAATTGAAGTCCCCAAAAGGATCATTTCCTCATTATGATAATTTTGCTATAAGCTCTTCATTAATCCAATATTCATTAATCCAATTCAGTAATGTTATTTGGCAGCTTACTGAAGTCTTCAGGAGCCACAGGGGACTGGATGCATTATCTGTTTTTATGACCATAAAAAGGAAGAAACAAACAACAAGCTAAATAAGCTCCACTAAAAAATTGGTTTTGTTTCATATAATGAAATGAGTAGTGAATTCATATAGTGAATGAGTAGAAAACTCGTTCACTCACTCACTCATCCAAAAAACAAATGTGTATTGAGCACCTACTGCGTACAAGACATTGCACTAGGACTATTGTGGCTACAAAGATGAATAGATGAATCATTCATTCAGCAAACACCAGCTGCCCACCTTTTTAAAAGAAGCTTTCAGCCTAGTAAGATGAACAATTTATAAGCCAATCTCCCTAATACAGAAAGTGAGGAAGTATGGGCCATAGAAGATGTATGAAGAAAGTTCAGAGGGGAAAAGTGTCATGTTTGATGAGACCGAGGAAAAGTTCACAGAGTAGGTGATATTTGACTGGGCCTAGAGTCTAGGTAGGATTTGGACATGCATAAATGGTCTTGGAGGACATTCAGGTTGGGTGACACAAGGTGTTCAGAGGCATTGAAAGACGTAGATATTTCAGCTTGGCTAAAACATCATTTTCTTTTTTTTTTTTTTTTTGAGATGGAGTTTCGCTCTTGTTACCTAGGCTGGAGTGCAATGGCGCAATCTCGGCTCACTGCAACCTCCGCCTCCTGGGTTCAGGCAATTCTCCTGCCTCAGCCTCCTGAGCAGCTGGGATTACAGGCATGCACCACCATGCCCAGCTAATTTTTTGTATTGTTAGTAGAGACGGGGTTTCACCGTGTTGACCAGGATGGTCTCGATCTCTTGACCTCGTGATCCACCCGCCTCGGCCTCCCAAAGTGCTGGGATTACAGGCTTGAGCCACCGCGCTCGGCTTAAAACATCATTTTCAAATTGAATTTGTTAGAGCTACTTCAGGGCATACTGCAGAGAAGGAGGAATGTCAAATTGGAGGAAACCCAGGACACCTACCACAATTTCAACTGAAGTACCTCTGCTTTGATTTATTTTCGACATTAGGGTTCCATCTAAGATTTCAGTTGGTGAGGGGGAAAAGTGTTCAAATGGTAAGAACAAAAAATTTAAACAACTGGACCAGAGCACTGATAGGTTGCATGGTGAGGGAAAGTCAGAGATAAGAGTGGAAAACTTAGGCTGAGACCTGAGCACGAAGAACCCTAAATGTCAGCCTAGGAATGTGGGCCTTATTGTACAGGGCTGGCTATACAGCGGACTGTATTTCAGGCCTACGACACAGTAGGTTGCCTCAGATAGATAGGTGGGTTAAAGGATGGATACGGAAGTGGCTGGAGTTGAGTGAGCGAAGGAGAAAGTATTAAAAGATGAGTTTGGAGAAGTACCAAGTGCCAGAATATGGAATGCCTTTTATAGGCCATCCTAGGGACTTTAGATTTTCTTTTGAGTGTTTTGAGAAGCCATTGTAGGATTTTGAGCACATGAGTGACATAATCTGATTTATAGTTTTAAATGGATCATTCTGGCTACTCTGCAAAGTATAGACTAGGAGAGGGGGCCAGGCGCAGTGGGTCATGCCTGTAATCCCAGCACTTTGGAAGGCTGAAGCAGGCGGATCACGAGGTTAGGAGTTCGAGACCAGCCTGACCAACATAGTAAAACCCTGTCTCTACTAAAAATACAAAAATTAGCTGAGTGTGGTGGTGCGCACTTGTAATCCCAGCTACTTAGGAGGCTGAGGCAGGAGAATAGCTTTAACCCGGGAAGTAGAGGTTGCAATGAGCTGAGATTGTGCCACTGACCTCCAGCCTGGGCAACAAACTGAGAATGCGTCTCAAAAAAAGAAAAAGAGAGGGAGAGAGAGGGAAGGGTAGTTGGCTACATAGCAATACATAGCTGAAACTGTGTGTTTGTGTGTGTGTGCACGTATGACTGTTTCTGAGTGCTCAATTCTAATCCTCTGGATTATTACAGCTTGTTTTCTGGGTCAATAATAGAGTGTTTGTGTGTGTGTGTGTGTGTTTATCACAGTGGCTTTGTAGTATGCCTTAAAATAACTGACAGGGTGATACTGAAGTTTTCAGATTGTATATACAACATTGACATGGCTTTTTTTTTTTTTTTTTTTTTACAGAATTATACCAAAGCTGGGTGATATTTTAGTGGATAATTTTTGTGGGTGTAATTTAGGATTCATATAAATCATTATATTTCTGATTAATAATGAGAGCATCCCTGTTGAAATGGGATATTTAGGGTCTTCTACAATTTAGTTTCTAACCACTTGCCAAGCATTGTCCTGCCCTTTTACTATTTGTGCAGTAAGTTTGTCCTACATTCCAGCCAAACCAGAGTCCACTGAATATATTCTACACTTTCCTGTTTTCATGCCTTTCTTTGGTTATGCTGTTTCTCCCTGGATTCTCCCCAGTACAGGACTACATATGGAAATTTGACCCACTCTACAAAGCTCATCTCAAATTCAACTTTCTCCCTTAAGCCTTTCCTGATACCCCTGGCAGGGTATGATCTCTCCCTCTCCTGAATCTTGATACGACTTGCTTGGCATTTTCTTTCTAGCCCTTATCTTACTGGACCTTGCTGCAGTCATTTGTGCACCTGCCTATGAGAGCCTTGAGGGAAGGGCTTAGTTCTTACTATTTTCAGTCTCCCCAGCACCCCAAACGGTACATGCAGCAGGTGTTCTGTAATTGCCCGGTGAGTTGAATTTGGTGGAATAACTTGATTGTACTGTTTACCTCTGATGAGTTCCCTTATTCCCAGGCAGAATGAAATCTGTTTTCATGATCCAGCAGAAACAAAGCTGCTTTGAAATGTTGAGTATAAACACTGCCTTCGGTCTCCAGCTCCCTTTTTCTTTCTTAAAGAAATTTGTTTACTGATAGAACTTGGCTCATCTTGGATACATGGCCAATTGAAAATGTGTTTTCTTTGAATGCCTGTTTGAAGTGTTTCATACACAATATCTCCACATCCTTTTGACTTAGCTTTAGCAGCAGGACAGTTTAATGGCGAATATCAACTGATTTCTTGGCATCATTTTGATCACACAACTGGTAGATTAGCTTTCTTTTGCATTCGGGAGGCCTGGACAGAGGTGAATGACTAAAGTGACTTCACCTCAGACCTGGTGGGGTCAGGGAACAACAATAACCGCTGCTTTCCCGCTTACGGGTGAGCTATCAGGCTGTTACTGCGTGTAATTGCTACATCTTCAGGGACACAGAGTGGTCAGTATTCTATTCAGAGGTATGAAATGACAAACTATGCTGTCATATGGCTCTATTACATTTCATGCAATGTGGTAAAACATTTTAGCTTGAATTATGTTTCTTTTGAGAACTGCAGAAACTACATTGACAAAGAGGTGAATTAGATGGCATCTTTGGCCACTGTCATAAGATTGAAATCTTAGGGACAAGATGATACAACGGAGAGAAGCTTTAACCTTAGACAAGTACATCACTCTCAGGTTTTTTTTTTCCTCACTGGCAAAGTGAGAAAATACCACCCACCTTGCACAGTATTTGTCAGAATTAAATGACTATGCTTAACAGTCCCTAGCACATAACTGCATACTTGACAAGCAAATTCCTTTCTCCCTTTTCCCTTTCACAAAGATGAACACTCTTCAAATAAATATTTACGTGGAGGAACAAACATATTTGTTTCTCAAATGGATCTTGAATCCTGTCAAGGAAGGTAGCTTGCATTCCTGAATGGATAAACATAGCAGTGGACAAGCAGCATCAGCATTGCTTAGGAGCTTATAAGAAATCTCAATCTCAAACCTGCAGAATCGATGTTTTAGGATGAGTCCTATGCACATTACATTCTGAGACACACAATCCTAGGTACTTCCTTTCACAAAAAAAGCAGAAAGCCATCCCAACAGGCTGTGACCTTGCTTGTCTTAACGTACATCTTAACTAATGTACCTCAACATTCCACCTGTGATTATGACTACATCTTTGTTTGCAATATTTTAGTGAATTTCACAATGGAAAAGGGAAAATGAAAGTCAAGTTTTGAAAGCCCTCAATAGGACATGAATACTGAAAAAAAATACCATCTGATCCTTGCCATGGATACTGGCATGGAGAACAGATTGTTTATATAGGCTAAAGAGGTACTATCTAAAATAAAAACATGCATACTTGTTTTATTTCTTTTGAAAAAGCAGAGCTAAAATGATGTTTTAAATGCATTCCTTCTGTTGGTAAAGTATATAGGTATGCTTTTTTTCATAAATTCCAAGATTTAAAATTAATTGGGTGCATCTACTCGGGGAGGCTGAGGCAGGAGAATTGCTTGAGCAGAGAGGCGGAGGTTTCAGTGAGTTGAGATTGCCTCATTGCATTCCAGCCTGGGAGACAGGAGTGAAACCCTGACTCAGAAAATAAATAAATAAAATAAATTCCAAGATTTTGAAGTTGGTGACTCCCAGCACATACTAAAAAATCTTTCCCAGCCCATGGCAGGAACATAATAGTTCACCTGCTGGGATTAATTTCCAAATAGGTGGAGATGCCTGGCAACGCTGTCTTTTAGCCAAAGTGCATGACTTTCATTTTTTAAAGGGAAATTTTATGAGCTTATACTTTTCCTTTGCCATACAATGTATCAATCACAACGAGGACATAACAGGCATGTTCAAATATTAGGAGACCTAGTACTTCATCATTATGGAAAAGGTGTTTTTTTTTGTGGCCACCTTTGCAGGTTTACAACATAGCTTTCATTTATTCTTATATTTTAATTTATTTTACTACTTTACTTAATTCTCTGTCCATTTCAATCCTGTGCAATATAAAGTGAAAAATAACTGGAGAAATCTAGAAACGTGTGACTTTCAAAAGTGAGAATATTCCCAGTGACTAAGCTTAGAAATGAATTATTTTTGCATCCATTTTGTCAACCAAAGAATGTGGCTGAATAAGATGTTGATAAGAACATGATATAGTTTGGCTGTGTCCCCACCCAAATCTCATCTTGAATTGTAGCTCTCATAATCCCCGCGTGTCATGGGAAAGACCCAGTGGGAGGTAATTGAATCATGAGATTGGGTTTTTCCCACACTATTCTTATGATAGTGAATAAGTCTGATGGGATCTGATGGTTTCATACACATGCTCTCCTGCCCACTACCTTGTAAGATGTGTTTTGCTCCTCTTTTGCCCTCTGTCATAATTGTGAAGCCTCCTTAACCATGTGGAACTGTGAGTCCATTAAACCTCTTTTTCTTTATAAATACCCAGTCTTGGGTATATCTTTATTAGCAGCCTGAGAACAGACTAACAACCAAACAGCGAGACATTTAGAAAACTGCTACAGTTAGTCCAGGGTTTAACTATTGTATTAGTCAGGATTCTCCAGAGAAATAGGACCAGTAGGATATCTGCTAATATCTACACATAGATAGATGGATATAGATGTATAAAAAGGGATGACTTATGGAAATCAACTCATGAGACTATAGAGGCAAAAAAGTCCCATGGTATGCCATCTGCAAACTGAAGAATCAGGCAAGCCAATGGTATGATTCAGTCTGAGTCGGAAAGCCTGAGGACAAAGAAAGCAAATGGTGTAATTCTCAGTCCAAGGTGAAAGCCAGAGATATCCTGGTGTCTCTATAGTGTACGTCCTAGAGTCTGGCGGTCAGAGAACCTAGAGTTCCAATGTCCAAAGACAGGTGAAGATGAATATCCCAGCTCCAGAAGAGAGAGTGAATTTGCCCTTCCTCTGCCTTTTTGTCCTATCCAGGACTCTAGCCAATTGGATGGTGCCTGTTCATATTGGCGAGGGTAGATCTTCTTTACTGAGTCCACTGATTCAAATGCCAATCTCTTCTGGAACTACCTTCACAAACATCCAGAAATAATGCTTTATCTTGATGTCTCCACCCAGTCAAGTTGACACCTAAAATTAGCCATCACAGCTACCATCTTGATGCTGACAACTGCAAGTAGCTTTCTACTTTCCTATAGGAAGCAATACTGAAAATACATGTGAAAGTCCGGTGTATAAGAGTCAAATGATAGACTCACATGTTATTGGGGACATGGGAAGGAGTTGATTCTCAGAGAGCTAAAATGTAATGTAAAAATCCCCAATTGTACTTTATCTTCCAGTCACAATTTTCAAAACTAGATTCTCAAAATTTACGTTCTGTAGCTTTATTCCTTTTTTCACAATTGAAGACATAAATACTGTAAGCCCAATGAGCATCTACTTGAAGCTAAATATTTGCCATGTTACAGCACAACCAATGATTTCTGTGTTTATGTTGATTAAGTTTGAGGTGTTGTTTCTTGTCATGATTATTAATGCTTTTGCTTTTCTCAATTCTGGATTTGCATTAATTCTTATAAGGAGAAATATAATAAAATATTCCGCCGGGCGCGGTGGCTCAAGCCTGTAATCCCAGCACTGTGGGAGGCCGAGGCGGGTGGATCACGAGGTCAAGAGATCGAGACCATCCTGGTCAACATGGTGAAACCCTGTCTCTACTGAAAATACAAAAAATTAGCTGGGCATGGTGGCTCGTGCCTGTAATCTCAGCGACTCAGGAGGCTGAGGCAGGAGAATTGCCTGAACCCGGGAGGCGGAGGTTGCGGTGAGCCGAGATCGCGCCATTGCACTCCAGCCTGGGTAACAAGAGCGAAACTCCGTCTCAAAAAAAAAAAAAAAAAAAAAAATATTCCAATATGTGCTCAATAGACACTAGTGAACATACAGGTCAAGGTCTTTGAAACCATTGTCTGGCAAACAGTGCCACCATGCAGTAGAGTGAAATGTTAGTTTTTCACTGAATTTGGCATATGAAAAGAGAAACAAGGCATGGTGGCTTGCACTTGTAGTCCCAGCTACTCAACAGGCTAAGGCAGGAGGATTGCTTGAGGCCAAGAGCTCAAGTACAGCCCGGTAAGTTGCCATATTGAAAAAAAGAATGAAGTTAAGTGGTTTAGGGTTGTTAATGAATAGCATACAAAAACATGCTACTAAAGTCAAATATATGGATGTGAAAGGCCAACTGTATCAACAGCCCAGACCTTTCTTCTGAGTTCTATTTGTTCAGCTGCCTACCAGAAATCTGGTGGTCCAAGATGTGCCTCAAATGATACAGGTGCAAACTCAGCTTATTTCCCCCACTAGTGCTCCCATCAACCTATTTCTTCTCATGTATTCTCTGTATCTGGTAATGACTGCATTATCCATGCAATCATTCATGTCAGAAACCTGGATGCCACCCTAGATCCCTCCTTTCCTCTTATTTCTTTCACCAATCTGTTACAAGTCCTACTGATCCTACCTCAATAAAATATGTCTTAGTCAATGTCTTCATTTCCACCTCCTTACTTTAGGCCCCCATCATCTCACAATTGGGTTATATCATCAGCCTCTTCTCTTTCTCCCCCTTCCTACTCATTCTTTCCTTTTCTTTTTCTTTCATTTTCTTTTCTTTTCTTTTTTTTTTTTTTTTCCTGAGATAATTTCGCTCTGTCACCAGGCTGGAGTACAGTGGCGCGATCTTGGCTCACTGCAACCTCTGCCTTCCGGGTTCAAGAGATTCTCCTGCCTCAGCGTCCTCAGTAGCTGGTATTACAGGCATGCGCTACCACACCTGGCTAATTTTTGTATTTTCAGTAGAGATGGGGTTTCACCATTGTTGGCCAGGCTGGTCTTGAACTCCTGACCCCATGATCTGCCTGCCTCTGCCTCACAAAGTGCTGGGATTACAAGGCGTGAACCACTGCGCCCGGCCCCTACTCATTCTTTAAGACTTCTTCTCACAGAAAATTTCTTCATCCTGCCCATCTCATCCAAGTGAAAATTAGGTACTCCTCCAAAGTAGATCTATAGCCCCCCCCATTGGAACACTTATCTTGCCATTTTTAAAGTGCCTTTTCTATATGCTTCTCTGTCTCCTTCATTATTGTTTGGGTGACGTGAAGGCAGGGGAGTTATCATCTGTCTTGTCTTGTTCTCCGATGAATTCCTAGCACCTAGTATAGTGCTTATCACATAGCAGGAATTTGATAACATGCTTGAAGAATCGAAAAGAGACTACAGCATTGTCGAAAATGCTACTGCTCTTGCAATCAATTTAGTGGAAAACAATGGGCCAACAGTTCTTAATGCCAAGTAGGCAAAATCAACTAGGTGCCTGGGTTTTTTACCTGCCCACATTTGTGCTCCAGCATGGAAACTCATCATTAGCTGCTCAGCACTTCAAAGACTCAAATGAAGTCATTCAAGGAAGAGAAGTAAGAAGCAATAGTATTTGTCAGTTTCCCAGAAGAATGACCACAGCTCTTTCAGAAGTAACTTGGAATCAGGTCAAGTAAACAAACATTAATGGCATCAAATTCTCATCACTATGCTAGATGTGGGTGGGGAGGAGAGGGAAACAGTAGAATGTAAATTATGATTTTTATCATCTGGTAATTAAGCCATATTACCAGTGAAACAAATCTCATACATGTGAAACAATTAGAGGCTCATAGGATTAGATCACAGCACCAGAGAAAAGATAAATCAGTGTCAAATTAGTCTAGATACACCAAAATTATATCTTCTCAAAGTATGGTAGCCCACACTGAGGCTGTTAATGTCCCCATGTAATAACATTCCTTCAGAGTGCTTAGGATATACAGCTATTGGTCCAAACCCATTGCAACATGAGAATTAAAATGACATTTTTTTTTTTGTAACTAGAAAGATCTTTAATTGAGATGAATCGATTTTGCTTGCCAATATTCAACACTATTCAATTCAGGATTTTATTATGGCAGTATATAATTAACCTAATTGGGCTTTTTTTTTTTTTTTGAGATGGAGTTTCGCTCTTGTGGCCCAGGCAGGAGTGTAATGGTGCAATCTTGGCTCACCGCAACCCCTGCCTCCAAGGTTCAAGTGATTCTCATGCCTCAGCCTCCCAAGTAGCTAGGATTACAGGCATACACCACCATGCCCACCTAATTTTGTGTTTTCAGTGGAGATGGGGTTTCTCCATATCGGTCAGTCTGGTCTCAAACTCCTGACCTCAGGTGATCCACTCGCCTCAGCCTCCCAAAGTGCTGGGATTACAAATGTGAGCCACCATGCCCAGCCCCATATTTGTAGTCTTTTATCCCTTTCCCCCCTCCCACTCTTCCCCCCAAGTCCCCAAAGTCCATTGTATCATTCTTATGCCTTTGCGTCCTCATAGCTTAGCTGCCACATATCAGAGAAAACATACGATGTTTGGTTTTCCATTCCTGGGTTACTTCACTTAGAATAATAGTCTCCAATCTCATCCACGTCACTGAAAATGCTGTTAATTCATTCCTTTTTATGGCTATGTAGTATTCCACTGTGTGTGTGTGTGTGTGTGTGTGTGTGTGTGTGTGTGTGTACACCACAGTTTCTTTATTCACTCATTGACCGATGGACATTTGGGTTGGTTTCACGATTTTGCAATTGTGAATTGTGCTGCTATAAACATTCATGTGCAAGTAGCTTTTTCAAAGAATAACTTTTTTTGGTCTGGGTAGATATCCAGTAGAGGATTGCTGGATCAAATGGTAGTTCTATTTTTGGTTGTTAAGGAATCTCCACATTGTTTTCCATAGTGGCTGTACTAGTTTACATTCCCACCAGCAGTGTGGAAGTGCTCCCTGTTCACCGCATCCACGACAACATCTACTGATTTTTGATTTTTTGATTATGGCCATTCTTGCAGGAGTAAGGTGGTATCACATTGTGGTATTGATTTGCATTTCCCTGATCATTAGTGATGTTGAGCATTTTTAAATATGTTTGTTGGCCATCTGTATACCTTCTTTTGAGAATTGTCTATTCATGTCCTTAGCTCACTTGTTTTTTCTTACTGATTTATTTGAGTTGATTGTAGATTCTGGATATTAGGCCTTTGTTAGATATATAGATTGTGAAGATTTTCTCCTTCTCTGTGTGTTGTCTATTTACTCTGCTGACTGTTCCTTTTGCCATGAAAAAGCTCTTTAGTTTAATTACATCCCAGCTATTTATCTTTGTTTTTATTGCATTTGCTTTTGTGTTCTTGGTCATGAAATCCTTGCCTAAGCCAATGTCTAGAAGGGTTTTTCCAATGTTATCTTCTAGAATTTTTATAGTTTTGAGTCTTAGGTTTAAGGCTTTAATCCATCTTGAGTTGATTTTTGTATAAGGTTAGAGGTGAGGATCCAGTTTCATTCTCCTACATGCAGCTAGCCAGTTATACCAGCACCATTTGTTGAAAAGGGTATCCTTTCCTCATTTTATGTTTTTGTTTGCTTTATCGAAAATCAATTACCTGTAAGTATTTCAGTTTATTGCTGGGTTCTTTATTCTCTTCCACTGGTCTATGTGTCTATTTTTATACCAGTACTACACTGTTTTAGTGACTATGGTCTTAATAGTATAGTGTGAAATCAGGTAGTGTGATGCCTCCAGATTTGTTCTCTTTGCTTAGTCTTGCTTTGGCTATGTGTGCTGTTTTTTGGTTCCATATGAATATTAGAATTGTGTTTTCTCACTCTGTGAAGAATGATGGTGGTACTTTGATGGGGATTGTGTTGAATTTATAAATTGCTTTTGGCAGTGTGGTCATTTTCACAATATTGATTGTACTCATCCATGAGCATGGGATGTGTTTTCTTTTGTTTGTGTCATCTATGATTTCTTTCAGCAGTGTTTTGTAATTTTCCTTGTAGAGGTCTTTTGACTCCGTGGTTAGGTATATTCCTAAGTATTTTATTTATTTTTGCAGCTATTATAAAAGGGGCTGAGTTCTCAATTTGATTCTCTGCTTGATCACTGTTGGTTTATAGAAAAGCTGCTGATTTGTGTACATTAATCTTATATTTGGAAACTTTGCTGAATTGTTTTATCAGTCCTAGGAGCTTTCTGGAGGAGTTCTCAGGTTTTTCAAGGTAAACAATCATATAAGCGATCATATCATCAGCAAACAGTGACAGTTCAACTTCCTCTTTACCAATTTCGATGCCCTTTATTTCCTTCTCTTGTCTTACTGCTCCGGCTAGAATTTCCAGTATTATGTTGAAGAGGAGTAGTAAGAGTGGACATCTTTGTCTTGTTCCAGTTCTCAAAGGGAATGCTTTCAACATTTCCCCATTCAGTATTATGTTGGCTGTGGGTTTGTCATAGATGGCTTTTATTACATTGAGGAATGTCCCTTGTATGGCAATTTTGCTGAGAGCTTTACTCATAATGGGATGCTGTATTTTGTTGAATGCTCTTTATACATCTATTGAGATGATCATGTGATTTTTGTTTTAAATTCTGTTTATGTGATGTATCACATTATTGACTTGCTTATGTTAAACCATCCCTGCATCCTGTTGTGAAACTCACTTGATCATGGTGGATACCTTTTTGATATGTTGTTGGATTCAATCAGCTTGTATTTTGTTAAGGATTTTAGCATCTATGCTCACCAAGGATATCAGTCTGTACAGTTTCCTTTTTTGGTTGTGTTCTTTCCTGGTTTTGGTATTAGGGTGAAGCTGGCTTCATAGAATGAATTAAGGATGGTTCTTTTTTTCTCTATCTTGTGGAATAGTGTCAAAAGGATTGGTACCAATTCTTCTTTGAATGTCTGATAGAATTCTGCTCTGAGTCCCTCTGGTCCTGGACTTTTTTTTTTGTTGGTAATTTTAAAATTACTATTTCAGTCTTGCTGCTTGTTTTTGGTCTGTTCAGGATATCTAATTCTTCCTGATTTAACCTAGGAGGGTTGTATTTTTCCAGGAATTTATACATCTCCCCTAGGTATTCTAGCTTGTGTCTGTAAAGGTGTTCATAGTAGCATTGAATGATCTTTTGTATTTCAGTGGTGTCAGTTGTAATAGCTCCTGTTTTGTTTCTTAGTGAGATTATTTGGATTTTTCTCTCTTCTTTTCTTGGTTAATCTTGCTAATAGCCTATCAATTTTATTTATCCTTTCAAAAAAACAGCTTTTTGTTTCATTTCTCTTTTGTATTTTTTGTGTGTCTGTTTCAGTTTCATTTAGTTCTGCTCTGAACTTGGTTATTTCCTTTCTTCTGCTGGGTTTGGGTTTGGTTTGTTCTTGTTTCTCTAAGTCCTTGAGGTGTGGCCTTAGATTGTCTGTTTGTGCTCTTTCAGACTTTTAGAGGTAGGCATTTAGGGCTATGAAATTTCCTCTTAGTACTATCTTAGCTGTATCCCAGAGGTTTTGATAGGTTGTGTGCATTATGAATTTTAGCTTCAGATCGACTGCAAGAACAAGCCAGCAATCCTGAGAGGACCCACAGATGCTCCAAAGGAAGCAAACTGCTCCTGCATAACCTGGAAGACACCCCAAATACTGGTAAAGCCCGAACAGTGGAAGTGGGAAAGTGAGACCCTCCTCTCCCAAACATTCGCCCCCACTGAAGAAGCTGAAGGTCCGTTTGCGGGAGAAGTTTCTGACTTTACCTGGAGCTGAGTCAAGTTAGAGAGCCAAGCTGAGCAAAATTTGGGGGTAAAGGGAGCAGCAGAAAGGCCCTGTGAGCTTGCTGGGTCCCCAAGCAGCCCGTTCCTGCCTGGCACCACGGGGATCCATCAGGAGAGTGGCCAGAGGAGCAGGGTGTAAAACTCCACAGGGAGAAGGAATTCTCCAGCTGAACTTTGTAACAATTTAAATGGGTCAAGAAGCCTCCTGGCCAGACCTCTAAGGAGGGTGTGAATCCAGCATGCAAACTTCACTTTTGCAGCTGGGAGACAGAAAGCCTCTGGCAAGTTTTCAAGCCCATCTCACCCTCCGCTGAGAAACAGACTCAGGGCTGTTGGGGTGGAGCACAGTGGGAGTGAGACCAGCCCTTTGGTTTGCGTGGGAGCTGAGTGAGGCCTGTGACATCTGGCTTTACCCCACTTCCATAACAATCTGCATGATTCAGCAGAGACAGTCATAGTCCTCCTAGGTACACAACTCCAGTGACCTGGGACTCTCACTCCCATCCCCCACAGCAGCCATAGTAAGACCCCACCCAAAGAGAGTCTGAGCTTAGACACGCCCAGCCCCACCCCCATTTGATGGCCCTTCCCTACCCACTCTGGTAGTGGAAGACTACCATATAATTTTGGGAGTCCTAGAGCCCTGCCCATTGCTTGTCCCTCCCCCCACTACTACACCTGATGCTTTCTTATTCATAATTTTATATTGTCTTTATGTTAAAATGATGATATTTTAGATATATTCTGTTAAATAAAACATATTTTCAAATTGATCTCACCTGTTTCTTTTTACTCTTTTTTTCTTTTTTTTGAGATGGAGTCTCACTCTTGTCGCCCAGGCTGGAGTGCAATAGCACAATCTCTGCTTACTACAACCTCCGCCTCCCAGGTTCAAGTGATTCTCCTGCCTCAGCTCCCAAGTAGCTGAGACTATAGGTGCATGCCACCACACCTGGCTAATTTTTGTATTTTTAGTAGAGACGAGGTTTCACCATGTTGGCCAGGCTGGTCTGGAAGTCCTGAACTCAGGTGATCCACCCACCTCAGCCTCCCAAAGTGCTGGGATTATAGGCGTTAGCCTCTGCGCCTGGCTCTTTTTACCTTTTTAATGAGACTACTGGAGAAATAAAAATTACCTGTGTGGCTTTCATTTTATTTCTGTTGGCAGTGGCTGATCTAGATCTTTCAATGCAAAGGCATGAAGTGAACCTCAGAAATTGAGTTACCATTCCATAGTCGAATCGCTCAACTTTCATTTCCTTGTCCACTTTTTTCTGGTAACAGGGACCTGAATGAATGGCTGGTGTCACCGGACTTGCTGGCCACTGGGAGGCTCGGGGTCTGCTCTTGTTCCAGAGCACTGAGGCTTGGGTGATAAAGAGATATATTATTCACTTGCTTTACTAGTGGAAAACGCTGTGTTGCCAAATGCTGCTCTCAGGAGGTGGAAAAAGAAACTTTCAGTTAATCTGTAGATGCCCAAATAAATCCTGTTTTTCCCCCTACTGCAACAAAAATATTGCAATAATAAAGCATTTGTGTCAACCAAAAAGTATCCCAAAGTCTTTTGAGCCTGTAGGGAGACCTGCTGCCAATAAGGCATTAAATCTGAAGGAAACATTTCTGCAATTACTGATCAAATACAATACAGCTAAATTCCACCTCCAGCATATCATTTTGATAATGGGTATGGAAATTATCCATTCAATAGCTATTCAAAAATAACTCAGGAAGATTGGTTACTGGATACTTCACAGACCTTCAGAATAATCCTTTCTAATCAGGCTGGTGAGAATTCAATAGGCAACATTTGCCTTGGACAAAATAACCTTTCGGGGGGTTGCAAGGCTGTGGGATTGCTCCTTTTCCCACTTGCTGTCCAGGAGGTGAAAGTGCAAACAGGCAAAAATGCAGAGACTATTTCCTTCTGGGTCGAACTGCTGCCCAATACCCAACCAAAGCTCAGTGCAGACAGCTGTGCCTGCAAGTTAAGTGAGGCGCCTTAGTGCTTATCAATCAGGAATCAGCAGGGCTTCTAGAGTTGTCCTCATTAAATTTAAAGTATATTCTCTCCCCAGCAGCAAGCGTCTGCATTGCCATCCATTTCTGCACAGCCAATTTTAGGCAATCAAAGAGCGTTGGCTTCATCACTGTCTCTGAACGGATTTCCAGTTTGACACAGCTCTTCCCAGCTTGCCTGATCTTTGACAACCAGTAGCTCTCTTCCTCTGGTCGCCACCAACTCATCGCTGCCTCTAAACCATTTCTTATCCTTTTATGTTCTTACTGCCTTTCACTGGTCAGGCTGTTTTCATCTATAAAAGACACCACTCCTATCTGTTCTAACATAAATGCTCCTCCATTCTTATTCATTTCTGGGATCACCCATATCCTAGTTCTCACTTAGTACACAGTAGATACGTAATGTTTGATGTCCATTTGCTCACTTACTCAGGAAGGTCATGTGGAAAGGTTAAAGTGAACACAGTTACTGACTGGAATCAGGAAATATTGCCCAATACCTGATTAGTTACATGATACCCAGGTAAGTCTCTTAACCAATCTGTGTCTCGGTTTCCTCAACTGTAAACTGAAAATAATTATAACTCCTTCTTCATAGGGTTATTGTGAGACTCAAATGAGAGACTTAGTGCAAAGTGTTGGCCGGATGCAGTGGCTCACACCTGTAATCTCAGTACTTTGGGAGGCCGAGGTAGGCAGATCACTTGAGGTCAGGAGTTCAAGACCAGCCTGGCTAACATGGAGAAAACCTGTCTCTACAAAAAATTCAAAAATTAGCTGGGCATGCTGGTGCATGCCTGTAGTCTCAGCTACTCAGGAGACTAAGGCATGAGAACTGCTTGAACCTGGGAGGTGGAGGTTGCAGTGAGCTGAGATCGTGCTGCTGCACTCCAGCCTGGGCAACAGAGTGAGAAACTGTCTCAAAATGAATAAATAAATACTCATAAAGTGTTAGAGAGTTTTGTTTAGTCATTCATCAAGCATTTAATGAGCCCCTATTTTGTGCAAGGCACAAGATGAAGTGTAAGCCATTAATGGCAAACAAGGTCCATTTCTTATTTTCAGGGAGCTCACACCTCAGGCAGGGCTTGCACATGCAGCTAACTCTAATAGGCAGCAATATGAGATGAGTGCTGTAGGTGATGCAAGTAGATATGATTATAGAAACCAAGAGTGGAGAGATTCATCCTGAGCTTGGGCTTGGAGGAGTGGAAGAGGCCTCTTCAATGTTTATAAAACATATTAACATATTCTTCTAGTCTATAGGAAGACTTTATTTTTTCAAATTTCTTTATTTTTGAAATTGACATAAAATTGTATGTATTGTGTACAACATGATATTTTGAAGTATATATACATTGTGGAATGGTTCAATCCCATCAATTAATATATTCGTTGCCTTAGATAGTTATAATTTTTATGATGACAGCATTTAACATGCATTCCCTTAGCCTTTTTCAAGAATACAATATATCGTCATTAACTACAATCACAATGCTGTCCTATAGATCTCTCAAACTTACTACTCCTATCTGTGATTACACACCCATTGAGCAACATCTCCTTAACCTTCCCTCCTCCCAAGCCATGCCAACTCCTAGTAACCACCAATTCTACTCTCTATTTTTTTTTTTTTTTTGAGACAGAGTTTTGATCTTTTTGTCTAGGCTAGAGTACAATGGCACGATTCTGGCTCACTGCAACCTTCACCTCCCAGGTTCAAGCGATTTTCCTGCCTCAGCCTCCCGAGTAGCTGGGATTATAGGCTAATTTTGAAAATATTTAGTAGAGACGGGGTTCTCCATGTTGGTCAGGCTGGTCTCGAACTCCTGACCTCAGGTGATCCGTCTGCCTCAGCCTCCCAAAGTGCTGGGATTACAGGCATGAGCCACCGTGCCCGGCCTCTACTCCACTTCTATGAGATCCACTTTTTTATATTCCACATCTGAGTGAGATCATGTGGTATTTGTCTTTCTATGTCAGGCTTATTTCACTTAATGTCCCCAGATTCATCTATGTTGCCACAAATGTCAAGATTTCCTTCTTTTGTAAGGCTGAATAATATTCCATTGTGTATGTAAATCACATTTTCTTTATCCATTCATGCATCAGTGGACACTGAGATTGTTCACACGTCTTGGATATTGTGAATAATGCTGCAATAAACATGGGAGTGCAGGTATCTCTATGAGGTGCTGATTTTATTTCTTTTGGATATATACACAGAAAAGGGATTGCTAGATCGTAGGACAGTTCAATTTTAATTTTTTTGAAGAACCTCCAAGCTGTTTTCCATTAATGGTTGTACTGATTTACATTCCCATCAACAGTGTGCAGGGGTTACCTTTTCTCCACATCCTTGCCAACATGTTTTGTTTATCTTTTATCTTCTTGATAATAGCCATTTTAACAAGAACAAGGTGATATCTCAATATGGTTTTGATTTTTACTTCCCTGATGTGTTTAGAAAATGAAAAAGAAACAATTGGCCACAGAATTCTTTTTTTCCCCTACAGTAGATTTTTAAAAATTAGGCCAGGCATGGTGGCTCATGTCTGTAATCCCAGCACTTTGGGAGGCTGAGGCAGGTGGATCACCTGAGGTCAGGAGCTCAAGACCAGTCTAGCCAACATGGTGAAACCCATCTCTAGCACAAATACAAAAATTATCTGGGTGTGGTGGCGATGCCTGTAATCCCAGCTATTCGGTAGGCTAAAGCAGGAGAATCATTTGAACCTGGGAGGTGGAGGTTCCAGTGAGCTGAGACCGTGCCATCACACTCCATCCTGGGTGACAAGAGTGAAACTCCGTCTCAAAAAAAAAAAAAAAAAATTAGTGTCTATCTGTGTCAAGGTCATGAAAGACCTAGAAATTGTTACAGATTGGCAGTTAAGGATATTTGGTGACTCAATGCCATGTAGGATCCTGGATCGGGGCCTGGAAAAGAAAAAAAGGACATTAGTGAAAAATCTGGTGAAATCCAAATAAAGTCTGGAGTTAATAACATTTTGCTAATGTTCATTTCTTAGTTTTGGCAAATTTACCTTGGCTATGTAAGATGTTAACACCAGAAGAAGGTGAATTGAACAATATGCAGAAATTCTCTGCATTCTGCAATTCTTCTAGAAATCAAAAATGAACTCAAAATAGAAAGTTTTAAAAAATACTAGTGTTCACCAAAACCAACCCTGATAAATTATTGTATAAATTGATTTTAAGCACAACTGAGGTTTGTTAATTTATTTCATTTTCTTAACATTGGGAACTAAAAATATTCATTTTTTTAGTAGACAAAAGAAACTCTTCCTGAACATTTTACCACTTATATAAGTAAAAACATCCAGCACATCATTGAGATGCGATACATTCTAGTCCCCTTTTCCATTCCTTTCTTCAATTTAGAAAACAAAATTGCTGAGTGGTTATTTAGAAACACTATTTTATTTAACCAAAAAGTTACTGTTTAAAAGTTGGAGAGCTGCATGAAAGCTTCTTCCCTTTCCACAGCAGGTAAAAAGATGGAAAAATGCCTTTAATACTTGGTTATGAAGTCTTTCTAGGGTAGCAGGAGCTGATACTGTGCAATGGCCTATGTTCTGCTCTGTAATTGCGTTAATTAAATAATAGGAAAACTTATGATAATGTTGTATTTTATGTAACTAAAATGACCTCATAAATTTGCAGGGTGTGGAACAAATAGATATAACTGATACAGAGATAGAAAGAAATTACATTTCAAAAGGAAATTGGGATCATAAAATACAGAAGTGGAGCTGCCATGCATAGGTGCAACTGATACTGTCCACCACTGAAACACACACATGTGCACACACTTGTGTTCCCCTCCTCCTCAGCAATCCACCAGCTTTAGGATTTGCCAGCAGTGATGGGCAAATGATCACTAATAGGCTTAAACCAAATCAACTGTACTTAAAGAGGCTGCAGCCCAAGTGGCTTGTGGGTCAGTCTGGGGAATATGGCACTGCCAAACTGTGTGTGAGGGTAGGGAAATGAGAGGTAATGCTGCTGCTTCTTGAAAAGTCTAGGCTTCTAGGCTCTCAACTGGCGGTATTTATACCCCAAGGTGAGTCACAACAACTTGAATTTCTGAGGGGACCACAATGAAAACCCCATGGCAGGTCAAGTGAGGCAGAGGATGTTGTGTACCCAAGCTGGGCTTGGAGCAGTCAGGAAAACAGTAAAGTGGAAAATTGCTCCTAGAGTGGATAGAAAGCCAATGGAGCTGCCCTGGCCAGCAGGGATTCGGGTTCAAGATAAACCCTTGCCCATCCAAGACACCAGTATCAGAAATAATCCAACCCTCCCTTTGGAAGGAATAGGACCTTTTTTACTGATGTTCATGATGTAAATGGCGTTATTTTACTCTGTGCTGTTAGGGCTCCTGAGGAGGACAATCTAAGATCTAAATGTAGCTCGAAGAAAGCAGATTTTAGATCAAAATCTAAAAGTGCTAAGAGTTGGCTAAAGATAGATTTTGCTGCCTCAGGGCATAGTGAGTTCATTCCCGGAATGTTTGAAGCAGAGGTGAAATGCTTCTTCTTCAAATGGAAGTGCTTCCATTTGGCAGGAAAGGTGTGGAAGGGAATCAAACATACTCAGAGATGGAGAAGCTCAAAGGACTCTCCTCAAAGCAAAGATACATTTTTTTTTTTTTTTTGAGACAAAGTTTCTCTCTGTTGTCCAGGCTGGAGTGCAGTGGCATGATCCCGGCTCACTGCAACCTCCACTTCCCAGAGTCAAGCAATCTTCCTACCTCAGCCTCCCAAGTAGTTGGGATTACAGGCACATGGCTAGTTTTTGTATTTTTAGTGTAGACTCCTGAACTCAAATGATCCACCTGCCTCAGCCTCCCCAAGTGCAGGTATTACAGGCTTGAGCAACCATGCTCAGCCAAAGATCTATTTATTTAATGTTAGCAAACAAAGACACACTCATATGTATACACACACATACCTGCCCTCACTTTAAGGTCCTCATAGCAAACTGAGTTGGAATTATTAGATTAGTGCAGAAGTAATTGCGGTTTTGCCATTACTTTTAAATGGCAAAAAATGCAATTATTTTTGTACCAATCTAATAGTTTAAATGTACCACCAGGTGAGTATATACATGTAGGAGTATGTGTTGTGTGCACATTGTGTGGCAGGAGTCACCTAATGTAAGGGGCAGAGAAGATTCTGTTGATAGAGAAAACCAACCACTGTAACTTCTTTTTAAGCAACAATCACTTAGTTCTTCCTTATGCAGTCCCAACACTCCTGTTCGACTGAAAAAGAAGGGAGATGAATATTCCCACTAGTTGATGACAATTATAAAAATAGTTACTATTTTTAAATGCTCATTATGTTTTGGGCTAAGAATTCTACTTACCTTTAATTATTTAATCCACATCACAGCTTTCTGAAATATTCACTATGTACACTCCCATTTTACGGATGAATAAATTGAGGCTCAAAGAAGTTAAAGGATTGACCAAGATCCCACAGCTATAAGGACCTGAACCTATGCAGTCATGCTCCAGAGCCTGTGCTATTAACTACTGGACAATACTGCCAGTACTTAAATTTTTACTTAAATTAGGATTGTCAGGACCTAGGAAAGCAAACTGCTGTTTGAGGGTCTGTAGCTTCAGGAGAGAAAAAAGAGTTGTGGCCCAGCAGACAAGGACCTCTTTTGAAACTTGTTTGGCATAGCCTCCATGTCCGCCCTGTAGGTCCATCACACAGTGGCAGTGTCTCTGGGACAGGCAAGGGCATGCTCTTCCTTAGGCACTACGGAAAGATCTGGCTGTCCTCTGGTCCAGAGCAGCCGGAGGATAGGAACTCTGGGGGCAAAGGTGTTTCTTTCTTTCCTAGCCAGGAGCTGGGGAGGTAGCTTGATTTACTCCCCTCTTTTTCAAATCTGGAAAATTGTGATGAAAATCAGATTCTTTCACTGGGTTGTGTTGTATCCCATTAAGTACCCTGTTTTTAAAACACATATCTGTCAAAGCCATAATCAAATTGAGACCCAGCTTCATAGATCCACCATTCCTGGAATTTCTCCCAACTAAAGAGATGAATCATAGACACACACTCAACTATTGACAAAAAATAGAATTTAAAGGTGTAGAAAAGATGCTTAGTGTCTGAATATCATTCTATCTAAACAAATAAATAGAATCAAACAGAAAATGTGTCATCATATCTGAAAGCAGTTCTGTAGTCTCCTTGGGCTTCTCTCTAAAAGTAAAGTGCTCTCAGAGACTGCAGACAGAATGCATCCACTCTTGGTTATTTCTAGTTCTGCCATAAAAGAAAGATTAATTAATGACCTCTACAGTTCTATGTATAACTATCCTTCAAATGTATTCACCCATATTTTACTTCATTTTCTTTGTTGCTTTCGCATAGAAGAGACAACAGAATACATATTCCTATAGAACAATAGATTATTATCCTAATTATAGTTGCCTGGTGTTTTCTACACTTTTACCATTTTATTAAAAACAATTATCTGAAAAGAACCAATCTTTTGTAATACCTACCCTATTGTTCTCATTTCTCTCTCATTCTGAAGAGGTCTTTTCAAAGGGTATTTTATTCATAATTATAGACTATAGGGCAATTGCTGAGAAACTGAGTCCAGGAGATATTTTGTTGAGCTTAATTTTTCTTGTACTTCTTGATCCAATTATATCTTTAGTTTTTAAAAACTACTAGCAACTTAAACCAATTTCTGTTCTATAAGCCAAACATACTATTAGTAACAATCGGCATTCAAAATGTTTTTAAAAAGTGACTATTTTAGACAAGTATGAAATAGCAAATATGATTTTTTGTAATAAAATTCATCTATCCCTTACATATAAATAAGTGAGAAAAAATGTACCTTAAATCCAAGCATTCTTCCCTGATTATAGGGAGCACTTAATAGGTATTTTATGTAGGTTTTTGATCATCTCAGAAAAAAACATCTATGGCATTGGGTCTGTGTTTTTAAAAAGTCAGGATTAGTCAAGCGATACCTGAGTGAAGAAAGAGGCTGATCAACGAATCTAAAGTGGAGGACAGGGAACAGATCTGGGTTAGGGGCTTCAAGTGACAGCTCCTTGCAGTATACTGGGCAGCCAGCATCTAGATACAAAACCTCCAGTTTTTCAACTTTCAAACTTTGTGACCACTCCCCAGAGCAATACATTTAACATCACCACTGGTACACACACATGCACAACATTCTTATTCTTTTACCATATGGGAGGCACTCCTACATTTTCTATCATGTATTATCCTATCTCTACCTCAGCCCATTTCTTTTCTTTATATTGCATTTTTTTTAAATGCAACATGTAATTACTTGGCCCGCCCGTGGATCATGACCAGCAGTTTAAAAAACACAGCTCTTGGTGGGGCATAGTGGCTCATGCCTGTAATCTCAGCACTTGGAGAGGCCGAGGCAGGTGGATCACGAGGTCAACACATTAATCCTGGCCAACATGGGGAGACCCTGTCTCTACTAAAAAATACACAAATTAGCTGGGCTTGGTGGCGCATGCCTGTAGCCCCAGCTACTTGGGAGATTGAGGTAGGAGAATCGCTTGAACCCAGGAGACAGAGACTGCAGTGAGCCGAGATCGCACCACTGCACTCCCGCGCCTGGCAACAGAGCAAGACTCCATCTCAAAAAATAAATAAATAAATAAATAAATAAAGTACAGCTCTTGGTAAGAATGGAGGTGAGAGAAGGGTCATGCTGGGGATGACTGGTGACAAAACTCTTTTTTGGCCATCCTCTCTGCATTGCCCTTGTCTAGGTGCATGGGGCTGAGTGTTTCATGGCTTATTGGGAGACAGCATCTCTCTCCACTTCTGAATTATTGCTTTTCATATATGCTTCAGAGACTCAACTTCATAAAGTCCTCTCAGCCTCTCTATTGACTCCCAAAGATGTCCATTTGTTTATGTTTTCTTCCACCCTGCTCTGTAATTTCTGAGGCTGTGTCTGGGACCTCTGAGGTCTACACTAGTGTGTAGATTAATGGTTGGGGGAGTCACTGGGGTGACTCCAAGTATGTCATCCAAATATGAATCAAATCTAAATACAAGTGTCCACAAAAGTGACAGGACTATTATTTCACTCTGAGCTTTCCGGTTTCACATATCAACTAGATAAGCAAGAAGGATCACTAAAGGGACATTCTTCAGGAAAAAGACAATGTTACAGCTTCCAGTTTGTTTTTGTTTTTTAAACCAGTGACAGAACCTCTCTGTTCCTTAACCATTTAATATAAGTCCCATTTCAAGAGCAAATTGTAATTGCTTTGCATTTCACTCTAAAGGCTGTCTATGCTTTGAAGATGACCACATTAGAATAATAAGGGATGAGCTCCTCCTGCAGGTCATTACCCTGGCTGGTATTCCTTTAGTTTTTGAAAGAATTACTATTTTAACATTTTACTAAAATTTCACGTTTGTTTTAGAAACATTTGAAAATATAAGAAAGCAAGAGTAATTTTTTTAGCTATTATTTTAAGTTCAGGATTACATATGAAGGTTTGTTAATAGGTAAACTTGTGTCATGGGAGTTTGTTGTACAGATTATTTCATTACCTAGGTATTAATCATAGTACCCATTAGTTATTTCTCCTGATCCTCTTCCTCCTTCCACCCTCCACCCTATCCTCCAATAGGCCACAGGGAGTGCTGTCCCTCTCTGTGTCTATCTGTTCTGATCATTTAGGTCCCACTTATAAGTGAGAACATGTGGCACTTGGTTTTCTGTTTCTGCGTTAGTCAAGCAAAAATAATTTTTAAAGTCCTCTCTAAATCTGCCATGTAAGGACTAAACACTATCGACATCTATCACACCAGATTTGTCCCTATGCTAACAAGCCATATGGATATTTTGAAAAACAGGATCCTACCATACACACCAATTTTTCATTTAAAAATACATTGTGAACATCTTTCTATATTCATAAAAATGGACTGAAATAACATTTTCCATAGCTACATGAACTACTGCTCAAGCAGATTTTAGGTCATTTTTCAATCAGATTTTAGGTCATTTCAGAATTTCTCCAAGATACTCCAAGTACCCCACTTTAGTACCTTCCTTTCAGCATATATATTGTCAAAATGGCTTCCAAAGAGTCTGTCCTGATTCATTCTCTCCCCAGTTGTGTCTTCTTTTTAAAAATTCCTTATCAACTCTGGGTATTAGTATTCATTTTCATTTTTGTCAGTCTGATAACTGGCCACTTTAGTTGAATACTTAATGAAGTTCTTTACTCCATGTCAACACTGAATGGGAATTCTGAATGCTGTCACCTTGAACAGCCTGTGAGTGCCTCATAACATTGTGACTACTATTTTCTCTTGAGCCTTTTACATGCTCTCAGACTTCAGAATGTCAGGCATGGCAGAGGTCTTCAAGCACTGGTGGCATAAGTTGTCCAGGGAGATTCGGCCCACAGTAACAGGTGACTGTGTTCTTTGACTCCTTTTGGCCCTTACCAAGGGCACTTGTTATTAAAACTTTATTGGAATAGTCTCTGATCTGAGACGCTGAGATCCTGGGATAGGTAGGTTTTCTCATCCATCCTGTTTGAAATGGATGGAAAGTGCCAAAAGGAGATGAGAACGTGACGTGGGATTCTCTGGGGACCCCAAGCTCTAAGGAAAGGGCATCTTTGAGTCCCAGATTGGAAGGCCTAGGACTTAATTTGTCTATAAGCCTCTCTTTGGATAGCTAAGTCTCAAATTATGATTCATACTTGTTCATTAGTCTTCTGGGGACCAGTAAGGAACTCACTATCTGTGGGGTTGCCTCTGTTAGCAAGTGCTCTTCAAGTTTGAGCCAAGTTTCCTGTCAACATTAAAATCCAGCTTTTTCGCAATCTAGATACCTGTCTTAGAACTTTTGAATCAAAATCTCTAGGGCAGGATCCAGGATTGCAACGTAAGCATTGCCTCAGGTGATTTGGAAGTACTTTTAAATTTGAGTAAGAGCTCTCTTAGATTGCTCCTTAATCTTTATTGTGCATAAAAGTCCCCCTGGAATCAAGTTAAAATGCAGAACAGGTCTGAGTGGGGTCAGCGATTCTCCATTTCTAATAAGTTCCCAGGTAATAACTATGCTGCTTATCTGCAGATTACATTTTGAGTAGCAAGTCTCCAATCCATGCTCTTCTACTAACTAGTTGGGATTATTTCTGTTGTAAAGTGTGGAGAACAGAAGAGACCAATGAATGCATTGCAGAAGGGAGATATTTCAGCTGGGCTTGAGGATGAGTAGAAGCAGAGGAGCGATGGGAAATGGTGTTTCTGAAAGGCCACCTGGTCCTATCAAATTTAAAATTTTTAACTTACCCTCTCTGGGAGCTTCTGTGGGATTCAGTGTTTTCTGCAACTCTAATCTTCAGGATCAAAAGCTTCAAATCATCTTGGCTAACCATGTCTTAAGCCATATGAGGATCCAAAAGAGGAATCATCGTTTCTGTTTTGAAGACTTTTGTTGTTTTTGTGATTTAGAGATGCAGGCTGTCCTTAAAAGACACACAGGAAAAGTGTTTAAAAGATTTTGAAAGTTTGATTTGAGAAAGAATGAAGTGGTGAGTTTTAATTTTTTAAATTGAGTTATAACACACACATAATGAAGTGCATCAACATTAAGTGTACAGCTCAGTTAACTTTCATACATATGCACATCCATATAACTACCACCCAAATCAAGATAAAGAAGGTTTTCAGCATCCCAAAAGGTTCATTCAGTGCCTCCACACAGTCCAGACTCTCTCAAAGGAAACTACTATTTTGACATCTCAAATCATAGATTAGTTTCATTGTTCTTGAATTTCATTAAATGAAATGATACAGAATGTATTCTTCTATATGTGGCGTCTTTTGGTCAACATTAAAATTTTGAGATTCCTCTGGGCTGTTGCATGCAACCTACTTTCAAAGAGATTCTCCTAAGGCTGGGTGTGAAGGCTCATGCCTATAATCCCACCACTTTGGGAGGGTGAGGCGGGTGGATCACCTGAGGTCAAGAGTTCGAGACCAGCCTGGCCAACATGGTGAAACCCTGTCTCTACTAAAAATACAAAAAGAAATTACCCAGGCATGGTGGTGGGCATCTTTAAACTACCGGGTACTTGTGAGGCTGAGGCAGGAGAATCACTTGAACCTGGGAGGCAGAATTTGCAGTGAGTCAAGATCGCACCATTGCACTACAGCCTGGGTAACAAGAGTGAAACTCTGTCTCAAAAAAAAAAAGAGAGAGGGAGAGAGATTCTCTAAAATTTTTCTTAAACTTTGGTTTTGATAAGATTGGAGAAAGACTGAGGTATTTTAAACGGGTACAACCACAAAGGAAGTGAAATAGCTGTTGGGAACATTCGAAAATGAATGAGGCAAAATTGTCAGATCTCTTGGAGTCTCTGTTGGGCTTCCATTCCTCCCTTTCCTGGATTACACTTAACTGTTATGACATAGACCTGCCAGAGACCATAACTAGGAGGCAAGGCCTTTGGGTAGTATGGATATTTTAATAATATTATTTCTCTGGAGAATAATTGTACACAAGATTTTGAAATAAAGATTTATACTGATTTAATTACCTTTGACCAAAGAAAATGGTATCCAGGCCTGCTTCCTTTCCCCTTGGCATGCTTTTCTCAAAGTAACTGGTGATGAAAGAGCCCATTTTTCACTTCCTCCTACCCATCTCTCCCCTTTGCCTAAGCTGACTTGGGAGCGCCTTTGGTCATTTTTTTTTTTTTTTTTTTTTTTGAGTCGGTGTCTCCCTCTGTCACCTAGGCTAAAGTGCAGTGGTGCAATCTCAGCTCACTGCAACCTCTGCCTCCTGGGTTCAAGCCATCCTCTTCCTACCTCAGCCTCCCAAGTAGCTGGGACTACAGGTATGTGCCACCATGCCCAGCTAATTTTTGTATTTTAATATAGACGGGGTTTCACCATGTTAGGCCAGATTGGTCTCGAACTCCTGGCCTCAACTGATCTGCCCACATTGGCCTCCCAAAATGCTGGGATTGCAGGCATGAGCCACAACGCCCAGCCTCCCTTTGCTTAATATTCACGTATCTGATGCACAGAGCTAACGCAGAGTTTAAAGTATGAACAACTCGGAAACAACATGAGAATCTAATGAACAAACTTTACAAATTTTGGTGAAATTCATTTGCCTTTGGCAAATTATAGTATTTACCTTTTAGCAAATTACTACCAAAATTTAGAAATTATTTAGCTCAACATTCCACTTGTGGCATAAATACTGTCTAGTTCTCACAGGAAAAGATGGTGATAGCAACTGCTTCATATTTTTGTGGGCTTTCAACTTTTTTCCAAGCACTCTCACATACTGAATCTCATTTTATTCTCATAAGAACTCTAGGAGGTAAAGTAAAACAAGAAGCATTATCCCCATTTTATAGCTGAGGAAACTTACCTAACACATATGGAACGAACACACAAACACATACAAACACACACTATTTGGGGTGAGGGCTGTGCTTGCCAGCACTTGGCCAGCTGTGCCCCAAAGTGCAGCTCAGCCACCGTTTGGCTCTAGCAGCCTTTAACCAGCCATGTGTGTCCTGGGCTGTTGCCTAAATCCCAGGCATAGCACCTAGCACAATGCTTGGCAAATGGTGATTAGTCAACTAATGTTTTCAGAATGATTGAATAAATGAACCAGTACAAAAAGATTGCATACACAGAGTCACTGCATATGAAAAACTTAAGATGATAAACGTCTTTAGAATCTGAGAGTATGAGATGAGACAGAGACAAAGGAAACAGAATAAAAACCAGGACACTGTTTAGGGACTGGGGAATGATCAGTGTCTACTTCATTAGTCCCTCATTTTAAAATATAACAAAACGGACATAATCACTACTTGTCAACAACTAAGAGAAAATCATACCATATAAACCTCCAACAGTGGTTAAGGAGGAAAAACAGGACCCAGTCACTCATCTTTAAGTAGAACTCATGTTCACAAATACAGTCAAAGCACTTAGGCTCTTTAGAGCTCTACGTTTTCTATGACACCAGAATTATTTCTATTCCCCAGCAGGATATGGGGGAGGGAAGAAAGGGAGATGCAAAGAAGCGGGACACACTGTGTAATTTAACTGGTAAATCGTTGTCTTTTGAGAAAAAAATATGGCTTCTTGATATTTGATTTTGCAACTTCAATATCAGCACAAATAGCAGAGTCAAGTCTGTGTATCCTGTGTATCAGGAGGGCACGGCTTTCAAGGCTGAGGCAGCATATTAACCACCTCACAGGGGGTGGCTGTTTTACATATATTCTCTTCAAAGAAATACAGTATAGGCAGCCACCATTTTGCTGTTGTCCCTTTGCAGCAATAAAATGATGGCATAAATGAAAACTTTCAGATCAAACACATATCAGCTGTCTGTCATCAGCTTTGGTTTCTTCCCAACTTGCATGTTGATATAGGATATCTCAAGACCTCAAATAATTTTAAGGGGATTTTGCCCCCAATTCAGTCCTGTAATATTTAAGATGCTCCAGCTGACACAGACCTGTAATGCTCTTTCTTTGAAAACATCACATTCTCACCTCTTAATTGTAATTGCATTTGTAAAAAATACTACAGAAAAAAAATTAGCAATAATGGAGGCTAATTTTTAACAGGAACAAAAGATTAAACAAAAAAATCTTTGAAGATGTCCTACAGTGAACCTCAGAACTAAGTCCTAGGTAATTATTTTACTTATTTTCCAAGACCCTCCCCCCTTTAGTCGCAGGGGCCATGCTGCAAATACAATCCCAAACTAAGGCTAATTTTCATTAGTGATTAATTTAAGCCACAGAATCCAGAGTGTGCTGCAAATGCACAGAAATCAATTCTAAAGGTTTTGGCATGCTGTTTTCTGCTGGATGATGGTGAACTCTGCAGATGTTGATTTTTTCCTTAATGATGACATCATCACTTGAGAAGTGATTTGCTAAGGAACAAACATTGCTGGCCGTGGGAAGTTGTCTTTCCCTGTAGGAGTCTGAGCACATCTTTGTCATTATGACTTGCAATTGTTGATCCAATGCTGCAAGGCATTCAGAAGGGATCTTGCTCCAAATGAACTTCGACTTTCTATTAGGCGTATAGACTACCATTTAGATGTTCCTGGGTCTTTCTGATTTCCCACTTGTATTTCTCTCTGGTTCTGAATCTATAAACATGAATGACAAATTGTTTTAAATGGCAGCTCTGGTTTGTAGTCAGTAGTTTCTTTTTTTCTTTCTTCCTTTCGTCCTTCCTTTCTTTTTTATACATTATACACTTAAACAGCCATCCGCAATGCAGAAAAGGAATTCAAT